AATGCAACACGTGTGACTTTCACAAATTATATCAAAATGTCAGACCAATGCTCGCTGGTATTCTTTGATTCATTATGTTTTCACTTTTCATTCCAGTTTTGTATTACAAGCGGCATTGATGTTCGAAAAACTGAACCAGCAACATCTAGCTGACAGTATACATCTATGTGTTTTGGCGCTGATCGCTTATGCTAATCCCCCTCATCTCGGATCCGCCGGCCACTTTGTGCTGAGCGGCGCTGTAGAAGCAGGAGCAGCGGTTGACTTATAACTCTGACAACGGCTCCATTCATGCGTCTAATTTAAGAGCGGCTTCTGCTCCGTCTAATTAACAATTTACTAGGCCATCAGTCAGCCTCTCCCATTGTGGTATAATCAGCGTCGCCGACGTTCAAGCGGCTCAGCGAGCACCTTCACATCTGCAATGGGATTAGGAGCAACCGTGCAGCAACTTTTTTTTTTTTTTTTTTTAAACGGTTACACAAACAAGGGGGAAAAAAAAGTGGCCACTGCGAGTTCCAAGGTCGCAACCGGAACAACAGTGAAACCGCAGATTGAAAGACGACACTGTGCAGCGGAATGAGCCGGGCGGCGTGTTCGGACAAATTAGCCGGCTCTGTTTGTGCACGCTAAAGGGTTGGAGGTGGAGGGGTTCAATGTTGTTGGCGTGTTAAAGGAATCGACAGATGCATTTTGACTTCCCTTGTTGGTCGAAGGATGTTTTGAGCCCATTGGAGGGTTTGATCCAGTCTGTTGAGCGTAGGCACCGTTAACGGATTATGATACAGTGTCTGAGTGGATAAAGCAACATAAAAACTCCACCCTCATCGCCACCCTAAAAGTTGCATAACCTTAATTCATCTGGCCCTCCCTCTTCTCCATCCTCAAGACAACACTTTATTTTTTTATTTTCAGAAAACGAGTGAGGGGAGAAGTGGTGGTGGAAGGGGGCGGGTTAGACTTCTGCCTTCTGCTTGGTTGTCTCCAAATATTCTGACAGAACAATAATAACCCACAGAGAGGATTAAGGACTGGTAATCTGGGGGAATAGTGTATTTCATTTCCACTGCTTTCTGTAAATTTTCGCCCCTTAGCTTCCTCTGTATAAACAAATAGATTTTTTTATTTTTTTTTGACTCGTTTATCCACTTAGTTCCTCTGTCTTGCTGATTAGCAGTGAAGGGCTGGGAGACTGGGATAACCTAGAGCGGATGGTTCCAAGGATATCGGAGGCCAGCATAACTGTGTGTCTCTGTGTGTGTGTGTGTGTGTGTGTGTGTGTGTGTGTGTGTGTGTGTGTGTGTGTATCAGTGGGAATCTGTGTGCGTGCGTGTGTGTCGGCATGTACTGTATAAACAAATGCAGTGCTACTTGAAGGGCGCGGCCAATTAAAAGAAGCCCCTGAAGGAGCGTGCTCATCAGGATGCAGTGAACATAGCAGATCCTCTCTCAGATAGCCTGCTGCAGTCTGTCACTGTAACTAAGGCATTAATACCACCAGGCTCTGTAGCACAAAATATTACCATCTTTATCCTTTAAACACTAACAGATCGATGAGAAAAATGCGGATACAATGGACTGCAAACCCTCGTATGTTGTGTGTGTGTGTATGTGTGCTGACTGATAATGCAATTATCCATTAATTGTAAATCATCATTTACCACCCAGATTTAAAACAACATGGCGACATTATTGATGAAATTGCGATAAAATATCAACAAAACAGGCATTAGGCTGTCATAATGTGCGATGTGGACCATCAAAGAACAAAATGAGCTGCCAGGAATGAAGTAAAACACATAATTGCATGTAAAAACTACATCTTCTTATCTTAATTCAACAATTTCTCCCCAGAGATGGTATTATAGCACCCAGCAGTGCATTACATGAGGGGGGCAGGTAGATTTGGGACATAATTAGATTGGATTTAACTGTAAATATAAATGTACCAAAGAGTTATTACACTCTCTGTGGGTAGGATGTGTTAAATATTAATCTGGCTGAGCAGGTGAATGAGTAATTGGATGTGAATTTTACTGACTTTTTGCTGTGATGGAAAAAAAAAAAAAGACAGCGTTGCACAGGGAAGACAAAGATAAGTGGATCCAAAACTGGATTTCTGGAGCCAGTGATGGTACTGTTCTGTATTTGCCCTCAGTTCCAGCTGCGTTTCAGTGGCAATCCACAGAGCTTGTGTGTGTTTTGTTGCTGAATTGCCGAGCAAACCCTCTGTTTACCTCCTTCGGTGTGATTTTTGGTGTTGGGTTGCAGACAATCACTTGATGCTCTCATCGTGGCAGCGCTGACCCCGAAAACTTCCATCACAAAAAGGTGCAACAAGCAATCTGTGACCTCTATCGACCTCTATTGGTGACCAAGAGGAACTGCAACAACAGCAACCTTCTTCTTGGAGTCTTCACAGGTCTTTGGCACAGGTAATGAGGCTTACTAGTCCTCATAGCTTAAAGGCCTTGCTCGTAGCACCACCCCTCGACTGTTAAAGACTGGAAAAGTGAATAAACGAGGAGGGGGGGACTGGGGAGCGTGATGAAATCCAGGCTGGAAAGCTGGAAATGAAAGGCAGGAAGCTCCACACCTGCCAGAGTAATCGAGGGCTGTATTGATCAACAGCCTCACCAGCTACACATATACAAGGATCAAGTGATTTGTTCTGCAGAAATGTCAAAATCCTACATGTTTTTTTTCCCATGAATACCTCAAGAGAAGAGTCTCATTGTTGACCAATTAAGAAGAAACTCACAGGAACCAACTTTCTCATTCGTTATCTCACACGATGACAGACACCTTCGCTATAAGACTTCCCCCTCCTCAGACCTCCCCCATAAACTCACACAGCACCACTACACACACACACACACACACATTATCCTCCCTCCCAGCCCAGCTTGTATAAACATCCACACAAACACAAAGATGGATCAATTTCACATTCTCTTTCAGGACGCCTCGTCTCATTGTCACTGTTTATGGCGTGATGTTTGATCCCACCTAATGCTGCAATGCAAATCAGCTATTGTTCTTTTTTTTTCTGTTGTTGTTGCATCTTTTTCTTTAATACATTCTAAACAATTATCTCGCCACCTCAGCTGCATCTTGTGGCCTATTTTTGAAAATAGGACAGTGTTTTATTTTGGCGAGGCGCTGCCAAAAAAGAAAAGGGAAAAAAAAAAAAAAGTTAACTAATTGGAAAAAAAAGAGGCGTTATTGTGTAGTGGTTTAAAACTCCTGAAGAGAAAGCTTTCAGTTCCACTATAATGGTTTTATCCATTCATTTGGACTTTATTGGCTTTGCTTGGCAGCAGACAGGGAGCAATGGCACCCCCGAGCAACAGCTTTCCCACAGAGGCATTTGATCATATGCTGACTGGGTGAAAAAGAGTGTAAATTAAAGTCCCTCCTCTCTCTGACACTTTAAACACAAGACATGACAGGCCATATTTCCTCAGCCAAATCAGGAGCATGAGAGATGGATACCAATTATAATTGCAGCAGCAGGAAGAAGAAGAAGAAGAAGAAGAAGAGGGGAAATCAGACATAGGTGTGTGTCAGGAGCCCGGTGCTAAATCACGCCAGCGGTCGGATGATGAAAACTTGCCCGTAGGCTTCTGAGGGACCCACAGCCATTCTGTGCCAATGAAGGGGTGTGCACTTGAATTTGCATCACCCTGTGACATATCAAAGAGAATGCAGAAGCAGATGTGCCTCTTTGATTTTTTTTATTTTTTTCCTGCCAGTTGTGGAAATGCAAAGTTATTCCGTGGGCCACACAATAATCTGCAGCTTTCTTACCATAATCCTGCAGTTTTAGCCAAGTAATGAACAACGTGAGTGTGTACAGCATGTTGCATAAGCGCTGTGTGTGAGGCAGGGGTGGGGCAGGGTGGATGTGTGTGTGTGTGTGTGTGTGGAGGGGGGGGTTTCCACACTCTCTTGATGGAGCAAACTGGAGATCCTACATGCACTTATCTGGCAGTGCTGCTTATCAACCAGCACACGCCATGCCTCTGTTATTCTCTCTGCACTGCATTAAACATGAGCTACTTGCAGGAAAAAAAAAGAAAAAAAAAAAAGCAGGGTTGTGTACAATCAGGTGCAGGAAGCCACGCACCGACATGCCAGGTGCCTCATCCTCCCTCCCCTCCCTTCCTCTCACCTAGGCTATCTGTGCGCACACAAACTCCCACCGTCTCCAACATGCGCCTTTTTGCCAAGAAAAAAAAACAGAAATTCTTAACCATTTCTGGCGGGAATTGAGAAGGATCACATTCCTGTTCACACCAAGTGGAAGGAAAAAAAAAAAAAACCTACGAGGCCCAATTTCCTGTCACTCTGGCGGGGGCACCCTGAGTGGGACGATGCCACAAAAACACCAATTAGAAGCCAAGGAGCTGGAGAAGGGAAGCGGTATTATTGGGCGGCCAAGCGGACCATCTGCAGACTTCATCAGAAAGGAGCTCAGCCCACAGCGTCCAGACGGGCAGAAGCGGACGCCCGGGTTAAGTTGCGATATCATGCAGAGCATATTGACTGCCACAAACACTACACGGCCTCTCACTCACACGCTTGCGCACTAATACGCACGCACACACACACACATAGGGGGAGAAGAAAAAAAAAAACCCAAAGCCAGGACGCACAAAATCTGCTCTGAATTATGACTCAATTAAGACTCAAGGTCGTTTCCAGCCGCAATCTCCACATCTGATATTGGTGCCAAAAATAAAACACTGCAGATTTCTTCCATTTTCTCTCTCTCATGCATGAGTTTAATCAAACCACCGGGGTGCCAGAGGAGTAAACTCCAATTAGGACACCTGATTTATCTCTGGTTGCGTCTCCACAGAGCGGTGACACTGCAACCGATTTTTATCAGTGCGCAGTAACCCAGCGGGATCCTCCTGTCTGTGCCTTGCTTCATGTGGAAACTTTACAGAAAGAGACGCCCTGCTGTCTCCGTGTATGTGCAGGCTCATACTCACCATCAATAATAACGGTCTTCATGATTTAAGCCTAGATGGGGAGGGTGAAATCCAGTAGCAGTATAAAATCCAAGTGAATCCCACCGTGCGCGCAGGGTGGTGGGGGGGAGGCGGGGAAGAGGGGAAAAGATATCCGCTATTTATTGCAATTTTTTGTGGGGTGATTGCAAATCCAGCGCAAGGTGGGGGGAAACGGACAAAAGCACCCCCTTTGCCACCCTTCAAACTTTAGCCGTAGGTCTTCCCGAGTGGGGAGCCACGTCTCCGGCTGCACCCTGGCTCAGTCATGTGGACGAAGGGATTCAAACACACACAGACAATAATAATCAGGAAAAAAAACCAGTCAGCAATAACATCCAAATTGGGATCACACCAGTCGACACCTCCCTAGGAAAAAAAAAAATATAGGACAGCTCTGGAGAAGGAGCTCTGAAGTGCAGAAGTGGAGAGAATCAGCGACGCGGGCGAAAAAACAATATTGGATCCATCTTTTTTTTTGAAATCGCAGCACAATATCCAGTCCGAATCACTTGCTTTCTCTCCCCCCCTCCTCCTCACCCTCAACACTGCTGCTGTATATTATCCCAAGTGCACGGAAAGGGGAGAGAAAAAAAGTGTGTGGTAGAGCCTGTGAGCACGGATGTACGGCCGCACTGGTGCGCATCAGTGTGCGTTTACCACGGGAGAGGTGGAGGGAAGAGGGAGGGAGGGCGGGGCGGCGGCGAGGTGCGTTTGGCAGGAAAGAGACAGAAAAGAGGGGGAGAGAGAGAGAGAGAGAGAGAGAGAGAATATTCGAAGATGAATGTTTTATGGGGTTTGTATCACGCTGCAAAAAATATTCCCCCTATTTCTGATAGTTTTAATATTAATCATGGCACGGAGACGGGTGTAGACGGGTGCGTATTTTGTGCCATTTTACGATACCTCCAGTTATTCCCAGCAACAACAAAAAAAGAAACAAAGAAAACTGAATCGAAAAAACAACAAATAATTTCACATTAACTGGAGGAATTTCGACTCAATGAGTTATTCAGACAGACATTTCTTGCAGCACCGGGCTGCGCTCTAATGAATTTTTTATGTGCAGGGGTGGTGGGGTGGGTGGGTTGGGTAGGAAGGTGACGTGAGGCGAATCTATTTGGATCGGACACGGCCAGGCACGCACATGCATACGAAAACACCCCCCCACCTCCATAAAGACAGACGGAGAGCCAGGCCCTGCTGGTGCGCTTCCTCCTGGGGGGGGGGAGGAGGTGGAGGGTGGGGAGACTGGACAGTTTGGCTGCTGTGATGTTGGAGGCGGAGTTGTTGTTTTTTTAAAAAAAATAATAAAACCAAACAAAGATTTCAGTTCTGCTTGGTTAACTGGACAGACAGGGGAACATTTGAAATCCTTACCTGAGCTCAGATTGGAGCTAAAATTGTTTTCTTGGTTGCTTTTTTTTTGCCCCCCTTAAAAAACTGTGCATTTTCCTTTATTTCCTCCCCAAAATCCAACATTTTGCACGTTTTTGTTCTGTTTTTTGGCTGCATTAGACGTGATAATGTTTGCTTTAACAAAGTGATTAGGGCTGTTGAGCAGCAGTGTCAATGCTGATTGGACCGAATTCACTCTGGTCTGCACCTGTGCTGTTTCGATTTTTTCTTTCTTTCTTTCTCTCTCTCTCTAAATATATATATATATATATATTGCTGAAACCCAGGAGGATTGGAGCCACAGCAGAGTGCTACTATCTGTAGGTGTCACACGCCCCCTACCGGCCAACATAGAAATAGATCATCAGCATCATATACACAGACAGAGAAGCCTCTTTTTCCCACCAAGGAATCAAAGCTCTGGCAGAGAAATGACTGAATATACAGTGGAGATTATGTTCTTTATATATTTCCTATTTTAATTATTTTAATAAGAGAATCTGGAATGTACATTTATAATGAAATGCTGGGAAGTTTCCAAATTACACACGCAGCGATCAGTCACGCACTTGCAATTTCTCGACTTCAAAGCTCGTGTGTGTTGCACTGGCACGAGATCATATGCATGCATTAATTACAGTATAGTATATACGCAGGAAGCAAAAAAAAAAGCAAAGAGATTACCACAGGGAGCAGGTGAATGACAACCACAGCCAGGTGGGTGGTTCAGTTCGAGTGAAACGGAGGAAGCAGTGGGCTAATCCCAAGCTTACAACTACCACCAATATTGAATCACACCATCAGAATATGTCAGCGAGCCGCTCGGCTGGTATTTGCTCACAGCGGAGAGCGGCGGGGCCAGATGGCCAGTAGAGACTCAGTCCAAAGCCGCCACAGCAACCCTGCTGAGAACGAGGTCACCCCGCGAGAAAGGAAATGCTGTCACCTTTTCACAGCCACCTCCTGCTTTATCCATCCGCGTGCATGTGTGTAATCCTGACATGTATGTTGTGCATCCTGGAGTGGCATTACTTGTGCCGTAAGAGCAACGGTGTCACTGATGAGCAGCCATCGCAGCAGCAACCAGAGACGTAATTTGCTGTATCTTTATTTTGCCATAAAAGCGGCGCTTCTGCAGACATGTTTACATACTTGCTGTGAAATGACCTTTTTTGTGTAGCTCTTAGACATCATTAAACAGATGAGAACACGAGTTGCATGTGAGAAAAAAGCGATTTTAATTGAGTCACTGCGTACACTGTTGACACGATCATGAAAAAATCTGCCACAACATTCCCGAAGTATAGCCCTTACTAAATATAACTCTAGCATTAAAAAAAAAAAACTAATTTGGCTCACTGGTTAAGACGTTTCCATGTACCAGGGAGAGATGGGTGCGCTGCAGCTGATTACTATACCTCCCACTCCTCATTATACAACATGCCCACTCACTACTGAGAGCTCCACTCATTCCATTATAGTATATCACAATGATATGCGCCAGCAAGTGAAAAGGACACAGGTAAATTGTCACGGGAGCTTTGAGGCTGGAGGCCTCGCACAACGAGCGACTGTAAATTAACTAAGGGCGGATCATTGCCATGCGAATGGAAAAAAAAAAAAAAAAAAAAGGAGATTGGGGATCTTTAATTCATGACAGTAATGAAATGAGTCAAGCTGTTGAGTCTCAAAGGCAGCGGATCCCTAGGCTGAGGCTCTGCTATTCTTTTCATCACGAGTCTGACAGATCAAAAGGAGGACAGGGGCATAAATGACTTCCTTTGGTAATGGGAAAGTTAGTTGTGTCCCACTGCCACAGGAGCTACAGTAGGACAATTGTTAATGTGAATGAAAACTGAAGGCTTTCACTCATTTTAGGCTGCAGAACGAGCGTAATGTTGGTGAGTCACGCTACGAGAAAGGTCAGAGGTCACGGATCTTCCTCAGGGCCACCCATTCATAACGTCAGCGTGACTTGAGGATCTTCATTTCTCCTCCCACTTGAGTGCCCCTCATTTCTCCTACAGCCCTACGAACTGTATAAATATTCAAAAATAGCACAAAAGATGCAGGCGTTCGGCTGCATTTGGCCGTAATTGAGCCGGAATAGTACATTTGTCACTTAAGGCTCTTTTTCAGCTTCCCCCCAAACCAACAGCATGGGGCAGCTCGGATGAAAATACTGGAGTTTAATTTAAAAAAAGAAAAAGGACTCAAAAAAGTGTAAAGGAAAGAAAATGCAAATCTTCCTCAGGGAGGGAATCCCTGCTGACTGAGTTGCGCACTATGTTTTTGTGAAATATGATAGGTAGAATCACTTCAAGGCAATACTACAATACTTATTTTTTACGCTAATCGTTGGGATAAAAGTTATTTTTTTATTGCTCTCATAATTCTGCGTATAATAAAGAAATTGGCTGATTGTTCCTGTAGGCCACATTAAGCAAGCACACGGAAAAAAAGTTCATAACAAAACACTTTCAGAGGATGTTTTCGCACAAAGTTATTGCACCGGCGTGTTATAAATACAGGTATAGATGAAGTGTGTGACTAATTCTCTCATTTTGGAGGTCAGCTGCAGATAATGTTAATGTGCTGTTAGATGAACTAAAACTAAAACTTCAATAATAGAAATCTCTTGTTGACTTTTTTTTTTTAATTTGGAGATGGCAGTGCTGCATAAAAACATCTGCAAACACCAGCTACAGGTGTAAAGACGAGGAAGATCTGTTGTATTTAACCACAGCTATCGCCTTTTAAACAGACAAAATATGTTATTTGCTATGTGATAAGCTCTTATAAAAGAAAAAAATGAAGCTTTTACAGAAGGTCCCAGTTCCCAGGGTGCTTTAACAGAACTTTTGGGGTGAGGAAATGGAAAAAAGAAGAGTTGCATTTTTAAAATAAATGTACCAAAATTAGCAGAAAACTGCACGAATAGTCATGGAGATAAGTGTGTGTACTGGGAGTAAGCATACGGAAAAAAACCCAAATATGTGTAGATTACATCCCCAGCTGCACCATCAGCTCAGAGAGAAGGCAGCTGTCTAATGATACCTCTCCAAAATGATATACAATATGCACAGTGGGCTGTATGTGTGTGTACATACTTGTTGTTGCAGTGACAGAACAGGTTTGGTGTATAAATCCTCTCACCGCCGCTTTATTCGGTAAAACTTGTCAGTACAGTGTTGGCTCTTTGTGGCACAGTTTCAACAAGGTGCTGGGATCATCCTTCAGAGGTTTTGCTCCATATTGACATGATAGCATCACACAGTTGCTGCAGATTTGTCGGCTGCACATCCGTGATGCGAATCTCCCGTTCCAACCACATCTCCAAGGTGCTCCGCTGGATTGAAATCCGGTGACTGTGGAGGCCATCGGGGTGCTCAGTGTCACGGTTAAGAAGCCAGTTTGAGACGATTTGAGCTTTGTGACATGGTGCGTTATCCTGCTGGAAGTAGCCACCGGATGGTGAGTGCGCTGTGGTCATAAAGGGATGGTCAGCACTAATACAGTTACTGACCATGTCCGTCCATCAGTGTACAAGGTAGACTGTGGCGCTTTAACAATGCTCACTTGATGCTCAGTAGGGATCTGGGTTTTTTAGGGCTGGTGCCGATTACTGGTAACCAAGAAAGGCCAATAACCAATAGTTGGAGC